CTTTTTTAGAGGGAAAAGTAATAACCAACATTCATTTTTACCACATTACTGCTTGGAAAACTCCTAATGCATTAGATATAAATTACATAAAAATAGTTTATGATAGTATAATAGTAATGAAAATAAATGGTGTTAAAGTGTTAACCCCTTAAAAACATTGTTATGTAAATGTAATTATTACATGATTACATTAAGATACATTAAGTATTAATAATTGCTACTGATGACTTTAGCTCTCGAAGACTGGGCTCTAATGCCCCATTCACACGGGGCTTCAGCGTCAACGCTTGACTGAAGGCGTGTCTGAAGTTGGAGCTGAAGCGATTGTCATAGCAGCATCAGCCAATGAAATTCAGTCAGCAATAGGCCACTGTCTAGCTGGTGTATTATGCATACAGCAATTCGATTGGCTGATGCTTCCGTCGGCTCTTGAAAAGTTTAGCTAGTCCCAACTTCTGCAGCGAGCAACGCCTCTGAAGGGCGCCGACGGATCCACAATGCAGTTCGGCAACGCCTGACGTTACCCATTTAAAGTGAATGGGAAGCGTTGACGCTGATGCCCCGTGTGAATGGGGCGTAAAAGAGACATAATATTCCATAAGTAGCGGTGTGTGATATTTATATTTAAAAGATAAGCTGATATTATAAAGTATGTGTATTTTGAAAGCATTTTATGAAAGCAAAAATGATCCCTTTATGGCTTTAAGTTTTCTACATAATAACATGCATGTTTTCTCTGTGAATGTCAGTGGTGAAGAGTCTGAACGAGCGCTACAAGAGCTGTATTTCCCTGTGCCGTCGCCTCACAGACAAACTCAACCACTTCTTCTCTGACAAGCAGCGCTTTGTGGACGAGATCAACAGTGTGACAGCAGAAAAGCTCATTTATAACCACGCTGTGGAGATGGTGAGTGAAGACCACCAGGACATATTTACTCTGAGCTTGTGTGCTTGTCTGAGTGGTTAACATCGGTGTGTATTTCAGGTGCAGTCGGCCGCTCTGGATGAGATGTTTCAGCAGACTGAGGACATCGCTTATCGCTACAACAAAGCCTCCATGCTGCTGGAAGGCCTGACCAAGATCCTCCAGGACCCAGCTGATATTGAGAACGTTATTAAATGTGAGTGAATTTAGTAAAATTAATCATTTACATTTCATTATATATTCACTTTCAAAACACTCACTTTAGGCAATTAGGACTCTTCTTAAATCAAATTAAATATAATGACAAAAAATGTAATACTAAATTAAAGGTAGGACGGAGCTGATAAACAATATTTTATCAAATCGAGATGAAATTTATGTCAATAACACTGATAAGCTCTGGACTTTTTACTCTATATTGATCTAATAGTCAATCACACAGAAATGTAGATCAATGGGAATCTGAAAGTATTCAGCACAACCAAACAAATATGACTAAAACATGTAACAAATATAACATGAAAACTATCAAATTTATATAAAAAGCTAATTTAACATGTAAATACATATTAAATAGAACATAATTAACACTTCTGGAATGATTATAACGTCTGTAGAATAAATAATTTAGGTTTGTGTGTGATTTAATTCTGTGGTTTTGTTTTCTACAGACAAGGCCAGTGTGGACCGGAGGATCTCAGCTTTGTGTTACTGCACCGTCACCCTGTACGAATAAAGAGCGCAAACTCTCTAAAACAAGCTCTCACTCCAGGGACCATCATCTTCTCCGACCACAGAGAAGAATAAACCAATCCCTTGTTTTCTTTTCGTAGCAGTCGAAGCACTTTCAGTTCCTTTTGATTCCTTCCATCACACGCAACAGACCAAGTATTACCTTTTAGTTTTTTTTGCTGATGACATTGAGAAGGACGTGCACAAGTTCACTACCAAAGATGACAACCATTTGGATCCATCTTCTCTTTTTACAACTTTTAAGAACACAAGCCGAAGGGATTTTTGAACTGGGAAACTTAAGAAGCCCAACAATGAACATCAATGCAAATCAATTCATCCTGTTGTTTTCTACTGCACTCTACTTGCTCTGATTATTTATTGGTTTTGAACATGTATATATGCTAGTGTTATTGATGATAAAGTGTTGATAGACAACTTGACGTGGATTTGAATGTTGGACTGTAATTACCGGTACCACACAAATACGCAGTCACGCGGTTAGGAGGAATCTGTAGTATTTACAAAATCAGCTTTGAAGCAAATGCACTTTATTGAGGCAGACGTGGAAAAGAGACGCTCGTCCCAGCGTTTGCTCCGCTTTTTTCCATATCGAAATAAAATCCTCAGAGTATATCCAGAAGGCCGTGAGCACACTGGCGTCACATAAAAGCCTCATGGTGAAATCATCCATAATGGTCAAAAATACTTGAGTAGTTACTTACTTTTTGATTCATCTGTACTGATACGTTGTTTTTTATGTTGATATTAATACTGTAGCTTTTTTTAACCGCAGCTGTAAATACTGTACATTCTGCATGTGTGTTTTTTATTTTGGAGTGAATGCGAGCGAGCGATGCGTGTGATTAAAGGCGGCGGACGCTGCACCGTCCCTCAAATAAAGAGCACAAAATATCCTTCTTTTTTTGTAGATGGCAACAACGTCCACACAAACTTCTTACAGACAATTCTCACTTTGCATGGCAGCTCTCGACAAACACCCGTGTTTGAGGATATATACTGACTTTGTGAGGTAAACAGGATCAAGCGCAGCCCACTGCCAGGCTCTGCTTTCCTCCCTTTATCCACGTGCAGTGTTTGTGCGGCCGCACTTCCCAGGTGCAGTCCAGTTTCAGGATCCCCAAGTACCGAAAGCATGACATTTGAGAAGTGTACATGATCTGAACACCTCGCTCCCTCTTTCCTTCACTCTGCCTCTGTTTTTTAATCTTTATAACGTGAGCCTACAACGCCTTTACTGTACAGAAGGAGAAGGCTGAGGTTCATTCTGACACCCAAATCATGCATATCTGTAGTTGTAGGACTGAGGAGAACTGTGTACAGATCACCCGTTAGACAAAATTAGTACCCGTGGAGCATTAGAATGTATCTGCCCTAGGTTTAGCACCTTTCCGAAAATAAACAAACACTTTTTTTCCCAGCCTATCACAAGCTGACACGATCATGGCCGACGCAGCCTGAAGGTCCATGTTCCCTTGATTTCAAATGTGGATGTTTTAAATGTTTTAAACCATGTGTGTTTTACCAAGGGCATCTGTGTTGTCTGAAACTGTAGAAATACAGCTTTTGTTTATTAAACAGATTGATTTTATCCTGTTATCTGAGTCTGGGATTATCTGATTTGTTATAAAGACTGTGTTGAAAGTTTGTGGCGCAACTAAACATGCACATAATAATAACAGAGCAAAGTGCGTTGGCGTAGTGGGCAGCACGATCGCCTCGGCTGGGTCAGTTGGTGTTTCTGTGTGGAGTTTGCATGTTCTCCATATGGTCGTGTGGATTTCTTCAGCTGCTCCAGTTTCACCCACAAGTCTGTAGGTGAATTAAATAAGTTAAATTGTCCATAGTGTATGTGTGTGAATGAGTCTGTATGGATGTTTTCCAGTGATGGGTTGTAGCTTGAAGGGCATCCGCTGCATAATACATTTGCTGGATGAGTTGGCAGCTCATTCCCCTATGGTGTCCCCAGGTTAATAAAGGGACTAAGCCGAAAAGCGACAGAATGAATGAATGAAATTACATAAACTGGTTTTAGATTTGATTTTGCAGGGGCAAAAGAGGGGCGAATTATTTTGTACCAAAGGCTTACTTTGTTTACTTGAGAGCAGGGCATAATCCTGGATGGAAAATATGGATGGGAGGGTGAAAATGCTCATGCTTAGCTAACTTCACTAACACACTGGATATCAAAGGAATAGTTCACCCATTAATGACAATTTACTCAATAAATGTACTCACCCTCGAGTGGTTTCAAACCTTCATCATTTTTTTTTGTTCTGATGAACAATAAAGAAGATATTCTGAAGAATGTTAGAAACCTGTAACTGTTGACTTCTATAATAGGAACAACAAATAGTATGAAAGTCAATGGTTACAGGTTTCCAACATTTTTCACAATAACTTATTTTGTGTTAAAAATGTATATTTCAACAGGTTTGTTACAAGTAAAGGCTGAGTAAATGACAGAATATTTTAGTTTTGGTTGAGCAATCTCTTTATTGTTCACAAAATTTACAGTTATAAATCATTCATTTTCTTTTCGGCTTAGACCCTTTATTAATCAGGGTTCGCCACAGCAGAATGAACCAACATCTAGAATATGTTTTACTCAGCAGATGCCCTTCCAGATGCAACCCCACACTGGGAAACACCCATACACTCTTGCATTCACACACATTCACTAAAGCCAATGTAGCTGATTCAGTTCATCTGTACTGCATCTCTTTGGACTGTGGGGGAAATCAAAGCGCCCGGAGGAAACTCATGCGAACGCAGGGAGAACATGCAAACTCCACACATAAATGACTGGGGCTCAAACCAGTAACCTTCTTGCTGTGAAGCGATCGTGCTACCCACTGCACCACCGTGCTTTCCCGCAGTTATAATTCCAACATATAATTTGTAATGGCTATAATGAGAATTGTATTGGTTTTTAATGTAAACTGAGATGGTTCCTGTGGGTATTTTCTCTCTAACTGTCAATTTGTTGTGTTCTGTTGGTCATGTTTTAAAATCCTAATGGCACCAAAATATAGCTTTTAATCTTTTTTTTTTTTTTACTTCGTTAAAAGTTAATGCTCTAATAATGTTAGTACTTTAAAATATGTAGTGGAAAACATAGCTTCAGTAATGGTATCTGATTATATGTTAGGAGACCTGCAGCCATCTGGGTAAATAAGTAAAGATAGAACTGATATTACCACTTAACCTTTCACAGCTCCTCTCCAGCATCCTCTTGGCATGGGACAATAAAGTGAGGCCACAATGCTATATATTTCCATTCATTTAAAATATGCTGGAGTAGGTTTTTCTATTAATAGGATCAAGATGAACAAAGTGTTTATTAAAGAAATGAGATATAAAATAATAACAGACGTGAATGCACCCCTACTGCATAGGTAAGAGATACATGATTCTTCCTAACTGAAAAGTTACAAAAAATAATACTTAAATGAAATACAGTAACATCATATGAAGACACTACACACTTCTACTTTTGAATAAACCAATCACACAGTACGTTCATAAGACCTACACAAGTTAAACAAATATGACTCACGTTAATATACTTTCAGCCAAGACATGACGATACTATCATAGATGATATTGGCATGTGTGTGGCAACGTTATAATATTCCTCACTCTAAGTCTGTATCATATATCATATGTATTATTTCTCGGGAAAGCCCATATTTCAAATTCAGTTCTCTTTTCGTGCCCAGACTCGCAATGAAACCCCATTTTGTTCCATATTTTATCTTACCTCAAATTTCTCCTGTTGTTGAACGCCATGTCTCGGGCCTCTGCTCTGACACGTGAAGACCTAATGAACGGTAGCCAATCATGACGTCGAATATTTTGACACGCAAAACTTTGATCCAATCACATTTCCATTTCGTAAAAAGGCGGGAACTGGAGCATCATCAGTGTCGATATAGGGCACCAAGGAGAACTTTAGCAAGATAAAAACATGGACATCAAAGGGGATATTTTAAGTAAGTACATTTTTCTTAACGTTTTAGTGATATCTCAAAGAGTAAAATAAGTGCTTTTTTAGGAATGGGTAATTCAGTAGAGTCCTGCACTGCGAAATATGATCACACTACATAAAAAAGACGTCCATGAAACGTCCAAGAGAGGTATATTACACAAGTCCTTTCTCTGTTCATCCAGTGCTGTCACACATTTGTTTTAAAATGTTTAGCAGCTCAGTGACCTGAGTGTAGTCCTCTAGACATTTATTGTTCACCACATGGTATCTAAGTCCACACCTCCTCAAGATCCCCTGTAGAGGCTCACCCTTCTTCTGAATGTGCTTTTCAATGCTCCTGCCTCTCAACTCGTCTCCCCAGGTGAAGAGCACCAGAGTGCGGGACCACACCACATCCCCGAGAACCCCCACATGTTTCTCTACAGCACGTCCGTCCCTCTTACCGAACGAGTCCACTGGGATGACCAGCAGGAACAGCAGGCGTCCAGGAGGAGCCAGCATCACACTGCGCTGGATCTCCTGTTTCACCTGCCTGCCGTCCGCCAAGCCGAAGAGACTCCAGCCTGGAGTATCCACCACAGCCAGCCGCAGGCCGTCCACCCAGCCGAACCTCCTCACACAGCGGACAGTCTTCTTGCCAGGCTCAAACTCACTGCGGCCTAGGATGAGGTCTCCTACTGAGCTCTTACCAGAATGCCTTCGTCCCAACAGCACAAGTCCCATCACAGAAGGACTTTCTGGATCCACTTACCATAAAACAAAGAAGCCAAATCAGAGGTAAAGTACATTCAGATGCTCACAATAAGCAGAAACTTCACACAGAAATGAATCTTTTATCATTTTCTCAGTCTCCACTTTTTTTTTTTAAACCTGTTTGAGTTTCTTTCTTTTCTTTTCTGTTGAACACAAAGGCAAAGCAGCCGTTGGCTTGTCAATGTTTGTTTTTTCCAACATTCTTCTAAATATCTTCTTTTGTGTTCAACAGAACAAAGAAATTCATAAATGTTTATAACCACTTCACAAGTGTAAGTAAGATTTTCATTTAAGGGTGAACTATCCCTTTAAGACTTTAGTATTTAACACCACCCCCACCCCTGTCAAAAGTCATAAGACGCTCAGATTGAGTGAAAAATATCATTGGCAGTTTGCCATGAAGTGAAGTGTCCTCCGACTTACCATATGCTGTCACAGAGCTGACTGCCATGCTTCATTCCTCCAGCCTGCGAGCCGCTCTTTACTTTATGTCGCATGTATCCGCTTAACTGTTTTCTCAAATAAGTTAATTCCATCCAACACACACAATGAAGTCTGTTTTTCAGAGTTTCAAAGTTCACTCCTCAGTTCTGTGGAAGTCATTTACTGTGTGTGACGCCCATGTGTTGATTATGAGGGTGAGTCTGGTTGGTCTAGCTGTATTTGCTTTGGTCTGCTTAATGAACTCGTGAAAATTTACGTTTCATGAAAAAATTATACCATCAATTAGTCCTGACAGCACATGTTTTAGTTCAGTTTAGCTCATACAAGATAATCTAATCATGGTCTAACTTAATTTTATGAGTTTCACAAGCTGTTTTAAGTCAGTTTAACATAATAGAAGTTCAATGGACTCAAAGTTAATTTGATTTAGCTTTAAAGTTTAAGGCAACCAGGATTTTTTACCCTGTATGAATGTAAAAGGCTGTGTAGTTTAAACAGATAGGGGAATCACTTTTTCTAATGCAACAAAGTAAATAAATGCCATTTTATTTAGAGGGATAAATCTTATATAAGTTAAATAAGCTATAATCTAACTTAAAAAAATATTTATTTTCTCAAGAACAAAGTCTTTTTTTTATTACTGAAAACTGCAGTTATGTGTCCTAACGTTTACTGCATGATTTACCACATGAATACTAGAACATTGTGAAATTGAAAATTGTGACACTTTTTCCAAGTGGTGCATGGACAGATTTTTTACCATCCATCATTGTCCTCAAATAAAAATGAAACTATTATTTTTTAAGTTAAGCTTAAATAAGATGGAAAATGTCAAAATGTAAATGGCACCAGAATACTAACACTACTTAATCTGAACAAAAGTGTCAAATAATAATAACTGGGTTTCTGCAGTAAGTCTTATTTAAGACTTTTTAAGACCATTATGAATAAAATGTCAGACTTCTACAGGGCTAACGCTTAAGACTTTTTATAATGGCTTGGTTAGGCCAGTGGAAAACTGCCCATCCCCCCTAAATTAAAATCTAGTTTAGTAATTTCTTACCCACATATTTTAAATAATGTGTCAGAACAAGCAAACTCTAGTTTTATACATACAGTACACACTGTTATTTAACTTTTTTTCTTACCGGCAGCTATGGTGCCGGGGAAAAAAAAGTAAAATAACGGTCGTTAAATTACAGTAATTTACCATAAAATAACAGATGTTATTTCTGTATTTTAATGAAAAAAAAGTAAAATAACACAATTTTTTTACGTATAATAACAGGAAGAAAGTTAATTAAAGCATATTGGTAAATAGAATTAATGAATAAAACAATTAGTAAAAGTTTATTAAGATTGTTGCTGATTGGATGGGTTTTGGCCCAATGACGTAGCTTTACAGGGACATAGAAAAATTAAGACTCATTTATAAAGATTTAAGATCTACAAGTTCAGTGAATTTAAGGCTTTTAAGGCCATGTGGAGTAGGGCTGTAGAAAACATCTTTCAGCATTGTTACTGCAATATGCGCATCCGCAAGTCACATCCCAAAGATATGCAATGTCTAGTCTGAATTATAGTTGACCAGGAGCTATGGAATTGTATTTAATCACTGTATTTATATGAAATATATATGATTTGTGCAAAAAAAAAAAAAAAAAAAAAAACATTTCTTACTTAGAATTTTTGTCTTGTTTCTAGTCCAAATATCTACATTTCAAAGCGAAAACAAGATCATACGTAAAACAAGCAAAAAACTCTCCTGATGGTGAAAACCAAAATGTTTTTACTTGGTCTAAGAATTCTTTAGATATCTGGACAGGAAACAAGACAAAGCAAAACAAGAAAAGCATTTTTTTTTGCGATTTATTTAATTTCTGTACCAGAATACTGTTGGACTCGCCAGAAAACTATCAAATAGAGCTGTTCAAACCATCCACTGATTATATATTCAACTATATTCTTACTGCAATATTTATCCCAGAAAAATAAAATATCACACTATCATTTTTCCAATATCGTGCAGCCCTAATGCCAACACCCTGAACAACATTAATAATAATAATATATAGAAAATCTAAGTATTCCACTTATACCACTAATTCAATTAATACACTAATTCAATTTATACCACTGAATTCCCTTCCTTGTGTTGTTAAAAATAACAAAAATACAACCTGATAATTGCTTGCAAATTAGCTCCTTTATAAACATTTGTTTTTGTCATATTTTGGTGAGCAGGTGAAATGAACACCACATTTTCCAAATGTCAAAAATTAAATACTCTTTTTAATTCATTTAACAGCTCGTATGAAGTGACAAGCAAAGACAAAACACAATCTCATGAGAGGATTGAAACAGCTCATTCTTCTAAAATTTATTGATACATATATATATATATATTTATACTCTGACTGCCACTGTGTGACTCATCACATTATCTCCTGACCTGTAAGCATAATGTTCTCTTACCTCTGTTAAATAAACCGGCAACAGTAATGGGTCATTTGCAGCACCACTGTATATAGTACATTCTCTATATTGCATCATATATAAAAATATACAGATTTTTCTTTTTTTTGCAAAACATTCTTTCCATGTTGTTCAATGGCATGAGATCAAGGATCCATATACTGTCAGCATCACCGTCATCTCTCCTCTTATCTGCATTTCCATTCACAGCATTTCAGAGATCAGTAGCAGCCACACTGAATAAAAGTCACGCCACACGCCGTTCTCTCACCACCACAGACTTTCACAACAAACTCCCGGGACTCGCTCAGGAAGTTGAGAAGAAAGGGAGCATGGAGAAGAGAACAAAGCATATACACTGAAAACATGATGACGGGTGGGAAAGATGATGATGATGGTGGTGAAAGAACAAGCTGTACTGTAACAGTGCACTTCTGTAACTCTGCAGCTGCCCGCTAGGGGGCGCCTCGACTCTCAAGACAAATACTTAAAAAATTAAATCATGAAGAGAATCCAAAACAAAAATCAAGTGAACAAAGTTTGTTTTTATACATGTATAATTGAGGCGTTCTTGATCAAGAGGAAGGCGCATCGGGATGAGAGTTTGGTTGCAGTGCATAGAGAGATCGAGTCTGAGCCGGGTTATTGCCTGATGACGAGCCGCCCTGATATATTCACACACACACACACACACACACACGTACACACACGCGCTCACAAAGGCACCTCTTTAACAATGCTGGAGTGTGAGAGGGCTTTGTTTGCGCTTCCCCTCATGGCCAGCAGAGAGCGATGATCATTCTGCATTACGGCCCAGAGCAAGCAGTGTGGTGTGTAATGTGTCTTCAGACTATGGGCTCGAGTTCTGCACTTTATCCCTGTCCACAGTTCGTCCTCAGAGTCCAGCTCGCTCGTAGAACAGCACATAGGCGTCGCTACTGCGAACTTGGCTGGCAGACATTGGCGTGACTCTGGAAAGAGAAAGCGATGATCATTTAAATTTGAGATTTAAGAATGAACCTGATGATAGCAATAATATAGCATCTAAGGCAGAGCTGCCCAAACTTTTTTGTATGAAGGGCCAAAAACCAAATATCACGAATGTAAACATGCAAAACTATTTCACATTTGTTGCCATTGGTAATTTCCTAATTTATTTAATAATATTTTAAAATAAATAGAAAACATTGCTTTAAATCATGTTAACTAATGCAGTATAACTTTCAAAATGATAACTTATTGCAATAAAGAACATAAACAATCACATTTACAACACAGTGGAGTTCAATGCTAAATACACAGCAGAATCTGCCTTTGACATGATTTACTCACCAAAGTCTCTGCATTGTTGGGTGACAGTATTTAAACAATCTAAATAATTTACACTATTTCATTGAAACAATTATTTTCACTTAGCTTTTAACAATAAAACAAACAAGGGGTTACATTACATTTGAATTGACAATCTCTAAACCAGGGGTCACCAACCTTTTTGAAACTGAGAGCTACTTTTTGGGTAGCTATTAATGTGGAGGGCTACCAGTTTGATACACACTTCTTAAATAAATACATTGCTTAATTTACTTTTAATAATATAATATTTTTATTATTAAGAATGAATGATATTCATTCATGTAAAGACACTGATCATGGTAATGATTTCTCACAATAGTTGTCAACGATTTAACAAGGTAGGAAACAGAAATATCAACATGCAACACTTTATTTCTAAGTATTTACATCTTCAAATGATCACTTCTACAATATTTTCATTTGCCACTAACAGTTGATCGATTGTGTAATAAATCAACTTTCAGATTTTACTGAATTATCACTAAATCTACAGCATTTTTAACATAGCCGACACTCTTCTAACCATTGCAGTTGCCCCGAGATGGACAAAGGAGAGAAAACACTTATTTCACGCGGCCGCCATTTTAAAACACGAAAGCGAGGCTGTGGTGGGAAGAAACCCAGAAGTATAGGATCAGCACTGTAAACATTGCAACAACATGCTGTGGACTACAAACCTCCAGCTGTTGCCACAATTTCAAAATGCAGAAATGGTGTAAACATCACTTTAATATCAGTCAGTTCCATTTAATTTAAACAATTAAAAGCATGTTAGGCATCAAACAACATCACAATCTCTTTAATTCGCTTAAGTGTCCTCCTATGTTTCAGTTCATGGCTAAACTAAACTGAACTTAAACTCTCTAAAAACTAAACTACACTGTTTCAATTTACTATGATCTTCTATGTGAAGCTGCTTTGACACAATCTACATTGTAAAAGGGCTTTACAAATAAAGGTATATTGAATTGAATTTTTATTTTCACTATTCATTCAGAACGAACCTTCCCGTCACTTGAAAAGCGGTGAAATTATAAATTTGTGTCACTTTCTCTTTGCTGATAATATAAACAGTATAAAGCAATACTTCCGGATTTCTTCCCACCGCAGCCTCGATTTCGCTGTTTCAAATGGCGGCCGCGTGAAATCAGTCTATGGAGATTACATCCGTTCTAGTCTATAAGCACAGTTTTGCTTTCCTGTTTGAAAAAGCTTTGTTTTTCTAATCAAAAAAATGTGTAGCTCTTAATGAGGTTTCGTTTGCTTTTTGGGGGGGGTTTTCACCGGTCTTGTGAAAAAAGACAGCAGTTTTCACAAATCTTCTGGACTTTTTTCACGTGTAATACGCTGCCCCATGGGTAGATAGCATGGTAACGTCAGCTTGTGTGACACGTTCTGAAATGTCTCTTAACATTGTGCTGCTTTGCCGTCACCAAATGAAGTAAGAAGAACCCTTC